GATCCTGCTGGAGGGCATTTTCTTAATTAGTAGCTGATGGAGGACGGTCCAGACCATTGTGGGTAGGGCCATCCTTTGGGCTGGTGGTTCTGGGTTTCATATGAAAGCAGGCTGAGCAAACCATGGAAAACAAGCCAGTGAGCAGCACCCCTCCGTGGCCTCTGCATCAGCTCCTGCCTCCAGGTTCCTACCCTGCTTGAGTTCCTGTCCTGACTTCCTTTGATGATGAACTGTGATGTGGAAGTATAAGCTTTCTCCCCAAGCTGCTTTGGTCATGGTGTTTCACCACAGCAATAGACATCTAACTGTGACACTCTGGGAGAGTCAGATTTGGGGAACTCAGAAATACCAAAGCACAGCCCTAACAAAAGCAAGAGTTGGAGACCATTTCTTTCAAGTGTGGGAGAGGGGCTGACTGCTGCTGCTGAGCCACATGCCTCCCTTCCTGACCAGCGTCACACACCAGGAGAAGCTGAAGCTCCTGCCCAGTCACCTTCCATGATCCGGTGATCTGGTGATCCTCAGCATAGGAGCTGCCAGAAATCTCATCTTTAGAGGGCTGAGACACAGGGCAAGCCATTGCTTTAAAAGCCTCCTCACTGAACTAGGCCAAAACCCGGCACATCTCCAGCTACCTGACCATCCTTGCTATCCTCCAGTGGGACTGGTCCAGGCACTCTGCGGTAGCTGCTTTCTGGCTGTTGGTGGGCCAGTCTTACCTGCTATAGTTATGGCTTTCCATGGTGTTCCCGTGGCTTTGGACTATGCTTTGGAGACTGTCCACTTCCCTAATGTTCCCACTAGAAGATTCCATCTGTCACGTGCAGCAGTGATTTCTTCCCATCTCACGGCTTAGTCCCTGAGACTCAGATGACCACTCACACAGGGAAGCTGCTGGGTGGCAACAGGAACACATCAGGGCTTCAGCAGGCTTGATGCTCAGACTCCCAAGAAACTCCTGGCTTGGAAACTCAGGGGGAAAAAGTACCTCAGGCTTAGGGAAAAGTGCACAGTGCACAGGATGCAGTGTTTCCGTCCACGCCAAAGGCAGGGCCCTATGGAGATGCTGAGGGCAGCATATCTTTGGTCAGCTACTCAGCTGGCTTGAAAGTCTCCATTGTCACAGCCAGGAGAAGGGGCTGCACAAATGGCCCTGTCCAGTTCTCATGGCTGTTACTTCTTGTTCACAGTCCCTCGATGCAGGTGCAGGTTGATGCCGATGGCAGAGCTGACGCCACGTAGAGCCCTTCTGCTGAGATGATCTCTACCCTGTGTATGCTTCAGTTTGGGACATTAGTGCTTCATCCCTGCTGTGATTTGTGTCGTCTGTCCCTCTGTGACACACCCCTGGGGTCTTCCTCCACAGCAGGCTCCACCAGGGCACAGCTGCACTCTGCCCCTCTACTGACTTAGCTTTCATTTCTGCTCCCTCCTTTCCTTTATCCGGTTTCCATACTCACTGATCTACATAATAGATATCTTTTTTCATATTTTGAGAATGATTTTGTTCATTGTAAAGAAATTAGGAAATGTAGATCATCAAGGGAAAAAAATGTTATTTTTAAGTCAACATGCCACCACCTGGAGATAATCTGTGAACACAGTGGAACAATTCATTCCAAGACTCATTAGGCACCTTTTTGGTGTCATGTTTACCTATCTTTATCCTTTGTTTTTGAGACATGATCTCACTATGTAAACTAAGCTGGCCTTGAACTCATAATTGCCATCCTGCCTGGAGCTTCCATTGCTGGGAAGGCAGAGGTGCCATCGTGCCCAGGCCATGTAGCCAATTTTAAGCTTATACCCATTTGTAAGTTTATATTATTCACTTACTTATTAGAAATGGTGCGCGCGCACACGCACGCACACGCACACACACACACACACACACACACACACACACACACACACACACACTGCATCACTTACTGGCCGCCCATTAGCTAAGATCTAATGTAGCATCTGTTTATGTCAGTTTACGATCCAATACATTCTCTACCTAAAGATAATATAGCAAGTGGATTCTTAGAGCTGAGGCTGGACTAGGAATTACTTCTCCCAGTCCACACTTTGGCCTTGTATATCAGTGTTTCCAAGAGTGATGCATTTCTTCTGGACACTTGAAAACTTATGTGCTGGTCATGGCTGCCCACGCCTCTAAACACAGCAGAAGCCAGCACAGGGCTGTGAGTTTGAAACACAGCGATCCTGTCTTGAAAAACACAAACAAATAAAAAGCTATTTTATCGCCATAACAGCACTAAATCTAATTACTTAACCAGGAACTTATCACTGGTCAGTTTATTTTCAAATTTTTTGCTTTTGGAAGCAATGTCATTGTGGATATCTGTGGTTATATATATATATATATATATATATTTTAATTCAAGTCTCATCTTTCTTAGGATGAATGCTAAAAGTGAAATAATTAGTTCAAAAGAATACACACATGCTCTCAGAGAACAAAAGAGGGTGTCAGCTCCTCTAGAACTGGACCACAGGCAATTCTTAGTCCCAGTGTTGATGCTGGGAACCCAACCTGAATTTTCAAGAGCAGAACAAACTTTTTTTCTTACTGTTTTCTTCTTTTTCTCCTCCTCCTCCTTTCTCTTTCTCTTTTCCCTCCCTTCCTCTCTCCCTTCCTCCTTCTCTTTGCAGTATGCATTCTTAACTGCTGAGCTGTCCCTCCATCCCCTTGATACTGTTTTTAACTCCACACAGTGAAATCAGAACTCACAAGTTTGGGATTTAGGTCAGTGGCGTAGTGCTTGCTTAGTGTCACAGGGCCTGGGCTTGATCACCAACCCCACAAAACCAAAACCAAAACCACATACATACCTAGACACATTAAGCCAGATATTACAGAGAATCCTGAATATTTTCCCCACTTTCTCTTCCATCTTCAATCCATTCCTTCAACTTGTTTTAGGAGCAGAGCCAAGACATTCTGCCAGAAAGAATCATTTCTGGTTTTTATCCCACTCCATCCTTGAGGCAACAAGCACTAGTTATTTAAAAATGGGAGAGAGAGAAAAGGGTTATACTGTGTTAGCATTATCCAGGGTTGGTGCTCATTTGACCTTGTCTCCCTGGGGCTCAGGACTAGCTATTTCTGCCCTGGGTTCCCGCACCCACTCTCCAACTACCTCTTTGTCTTTCTTTCTCCCCACCTCTGGGGTGGCATGTACATTTTAAAGCTATTTCTGGCCTTGCCAGCCCAATGAGAAACTTTGATCAAATTATACTTATGCCATGGCCCCTGAGGAGTGCCCATGCTTGTTAATCTCTGGGTCCTTTATTTTCTTCTCTCCTCACTTCTGCCCACGGTTGTTTTAGTTTTAGAACACGAGCCACATCAGTGTTTGGAGCGCTTGTTTTTAAAACTACTTTATTTGGGGTGTTTAAGTCTCACCTCCCTTCCAACCTCCCAACCCTGTGTAGGAGAGAGGGTTAGTGGGGAGAAGAGGTCCAGACCCCTTTACTTCTCCTGGCTGTTTGGGGTCTAGGGGTTCTTTTAGGGCTCTATACCAATCTCCGTCAACCGCAGACGCAGCCAGGAGCCTCCTCCACGCTGGCCGCTGTGCCCTGAGGCATTTCTCTCCTGTCTGCTCCAAAACACCACATCTCTCTGGTCTGTCCAAACTGCTACAGCCACAGGCCAACACTCCATGCCGCATCACAGGCCACACCTTCTCTTTCTCGGTTCTCGTATTTAGAGTCCTAGGCCACGCCCCTCTCCGTGCAGCACGAGGCAGGCCATTACCAGCTGCCAAAAGCCACGCCCCACAGGTGTGGACAAACCAACTAAATCCCCACACTTGGGATGAAAACAAAAACATATTTACATACCATAGCTGAGCTTACAAAGAAACCAGAACTTGCATTTCAGGCGTTTTCTGCCCCTGCACACTTCCCTGAGCCCCTTTTTCTGTATTTAAGAATACCCTTTACCTGTTTTAGTTGGAAGTTATCTGGTTACAAATGAGTTCTCTCGGTGAATCTTTGTATTTCCTCCTTTGTGAATTGTCTTCTGTTAATTTTCCTATTGGGTGTTTGCTGTTTTTTTTTTTTGTTTGTTTGTTTTGTTTTTTAATTGCTATCTATGTTTATCCAATAGCATCGTGCTTGCATCATTGAGTAGCTGGGACTACTTTTTCAGACTCAAACAACAGATAATTACCTTCATAGGTAATTAAAGAGTCAGCATGTTTTCTAACACTAAGAGCCCAGCTCAGCAATTCACTACTGACCAGCAGACCAACCAGAAGGGCAGGCAGGCAGGCTGGAGGAATGCGGGTGAAGGGGCGCTGAGTGAGGGACAGGAGCCTGCAGGCGGTGGCGACCCCAGCAGGGCTACAGAGAGAGACACTGTGCTGGCTAGTTTATGTGGACTTAACACAAGCTAGAGTCCTCTGAAAGGAGGGAGCCGCAACTGAGAAAATGCCCATAAGGTCCTGCTGTAGGGCATTTCTTAATTAGTGATTGATGGGGGATGACCCAGCCATGGTAGGTGGGACCATCCCTGGTCCTGGGTTCTATAAGAAATCAGGCTGAGCAAGCCATGAGGAGCAAGCAAGTAAGCAGCACCCCTCCAGGGCCACTGCATCAGCTCCTGCCTCCAGGTTCCTGCCCTGTTTAAGTTCCTGTCCTGACTTCCCTCAGTGATGGGAGTGTAAGCCAGTTAAATTCTTTCCTCCCTTTCCTCCCCAAGTGGCTTTGGTCGTGGCATTTCATTGCAGGAATAGATACCCTCACTGAGACACACCTTTAGGTGTGTTACCTCCTCTCCAGGCTACACCTGGGGCAGCTGAGACAGATAGCCCTGCACTTTCTTTGCTTTTTAGGTATAAGATTTTGCAAGCCCAGATCTGGAAGTTTCTATCACCTCATTGATTCATGTGTTTATTTGTAGAAGGCAAATAATGCCTTAAAATAAATCAAACCTTAGTGAAAATAAAATATCCACCTCCCCCAACCCCACCTTTAATGTTTTTTAGCATGAAGGCCCTGGACCTGGTAACTATAACTTGAAACCACCTATGACAAGCTCTGTTACTTCTTGTTTTCGATCTAAAGTTCCCCGATTCTTGCCTGTCACTTCAGTAAGTATTCTAAAAGACACAGCTGCAGAGGGGGAGGTCTTGGGATTCCACATGTATGGGTCGGGCAGGGTAGGTAGAGGAGGGACCAGTAAGGTACACGGGTGTTCTGAGTTGTGTAGATGCAGTGACCAGGTACAGTAGCTGTGTCTGGAAGCTTCTGACTTAGGACACCCTGGGCCCCAAGACTACAGTAGCTGCATCAGACAGCCATGGGTGCCCTGACCTGGCTATTTGAAGCAGATGCCGTTGATGGATTGACATTGATGTGACCAATGTAAGAGCCGCTGCCAGCCATCCAGAACTGCCACTTTGAGTATGTGGTGTGGCTTCCGGAAGCCTAAAAAAGTAAAAGGTTGAAATAGAAAGATTGTTACTAAAGTAGATAGGACCATTGCCAGGAAATGGAGTTGACCATTTTTGAGCTGGATGTGGTAGTGCATGACTTTAATCCTCCTAGCATCTAGGAGGTAGAGAGGTAGATCCTAGCCTGGTGTGTGTGTGTGTGTGTGTGTGCGCATGTATGTATGTATGTATGTATGTGTGTGTGTATATGTATATATGTATGTATATACATATATTTTCTTTCTTTCTTTTTTAAGGAGAGAAGGCTCTATGCTTAGAAGCATAAACTGCTCTTCTGAAGGACCTAAGTTCCCAAGCCTTCATATAGTGGTTCACAATCATCTCTTCCTTCAGTTTCAGGACATCTGACACCCTTGTCTGGACTCCTCAGGCACTAGGAATGTACAGGGTGCACAGACATACATGGAGACAAACACATGAAAAGAAATTATTATTATTATTATTTGTAGTTGAAGAAAGGTTTTTTATTGAGGGTGAGGAAACACACATGCCATCAGGCACACAGAGAAAAAGACCTTCTGCAATATGGGGAGGGGGACCATTCAGGAAGCTGGGAAAATCTGGTCTCATTCTGAGGGCTAGGGTTTTTAAACCTTTGAAGAGTTTTCCTCCACTTATCTAGGATTGTCAGTTTGAAGTAAGACAGGATGGTTGATTGGCCCACACTGTTTTGTACCCTTTGGGGTCCAGCCTTGAATCTGCTGAGCCAGTCCATTCGCAGGGCCTGCTGCTAGAAGGAGGCCTGTATTTTAAGCACCCAGGTCCGGAGGGTGAGGAAGAAGCTGGACATCTCGGAAAGTTTGTCACTGTTATTACCTAGCTCTGGCTCCTCTCTCTGTCTACCTGGGAGTCTAGCTCATTCCCCCTTCTCAGAGGTCACTCTTAAGTGCTGCTAGGGCTTGGGGGCCTCAACTGCTCTTAACTGCTCTTGAGCTGACAAAGGGTCACCAAGCCCGGTGGCAGTCAGATTGCTGGGGGGAGGGGAAGGAGCTATCTAAGGGCCACAGCAAAGCTTAACCTGTGGTGCTGATCTCTAGCCTAAGACAGCAGCGTTGTGGCAGGCTGTATATGTAGAGGCACGGAAACACCTGACGTCTTGACCAGTGCCTCCATTGTGGGAAATGACTTGACTCTGAAGAGTAGCTCAAGGTGTGGCTGGAACTGCAGTTTCTGAGGAGTCTGCTGGAGTCCCCTGAAGCATTAGTAGCTGTCCAGGGCTTGGCATGGGTATGATAGATCCATGCCTCTAATTCTAAGGCTCAAACTGCCATGGGAGTGGCGGAATAGCTGGATATGAGCCCTCTTGTAGGGGGTGAGCAAGGTCTTTACTGGGGGCTGGTGTTTTGGCCAGTACCAACTCTCCAGGACAAAGGGCAGGGGTCCTCTTTGAGGCCCTGGTGACTAGGCATGTTCCTAAGTCTGAGCAGGGCTAGAGGGTAACAGTGTCACCCAGGGAGACAGTTTTCTGAGTTAACTCTTTTAGGTGTCTCTTTACAGTGGCTCTCCACCTTCCTAATGCTGTGATCCTTTAATACAGCTCCTCATGCCGTGATAAACCATACAGTTATTTTGTTGCTGCTTCATAACTGCAATTTTGCTCAATGTCAATATCTGATATGCAAGATATCTGATATTTGACACAGAGATTGAGGACCGCTGCTTTGGGAGATCATTATAGCCTCTAAAAAAAAATCTTTCCAGAGGACTGGGATCGCCACTGTTGCTCTGGAGACTTTTAGGTATCCCAAGCCTGGGAATCATTTCAGAAAGTAACACCTTAATCACTCCCGTGGCCTTTTGTTTCGTGTGGAAAAGCCTTTCCCCTCCCTGTGAAAGTCTACCAAGACTGGGAGTGTGTGGAGTTAGGTTCACCAGGAATGGAGCTATCTGCTTGCCAGTCTTTCCCAGGACAAATGCCCTGTCTCTGGGTATTGGAGGCTGCAGGCCTCTATTTAGGATTACCTTTATGACACATTTCAGGCCCTGTATTGCCTACTGGATTGTCTCTCGTAAGCCTTGTCCTAGAAACATCATTTTTCCCCCTCCCTCAAAATTAGTGTGTTTTCTTGTCCCAGGCGATACATGTGATGTAGGGACTCCAAAACTTTCCGTTGTAGGGTCATTGGCAACAACACGTGGTCCTTTGATATTAGCTACCATCCTCCGGGGTCTAGATGTCTTAAAGGCAAAGGCCCCTCGAGAGGTAGCCAGGACTCTTCCCCAGGATGGGACAGTCTAGGTGTACCAGAGCAGCTCTCTTGCTTCAGAATCAGCTCTCCTGTTTTCCTTTGCTACTGGGTCATCTCCACCTCATGCTCTGGACAGTGGGTCACAACCACTTGGGTGGGTAAAAGAACCATATCCAGAAGCCTAGGGATTTCTTGGGAACGTTTTACAAAGGCTCCAACTGCACTTGGGAGGCCTCTTTGCTTCCAGAAAGCATAGAGGACATGGAGGGCAAGGAAGGCATATTTGGAATCTGTGTAAATATTAACTCTGTCTCCTTGGGACAGTTCTAGAGCCCGAATGAGAGCTAGGAGCTCGGCTAACTGAGAGCTTTAGTTTCCAGGTCTTAGTCCCGATTCCAGTACCTCATTGCGAGTGACATGCATATCCCACAGGTCAGATTCCTTCTTTTAACAAAGAACACCCATCTGTACGGAGGGCCAAGGCAGGCTTTGCCAAGGGTTGACCTGAGAGATTGGGATGAAGTGCATACCTCTCTATGAGGACCCCTCACAAGAGCAGACAGGCTCCTCTTCCTCTTCTGGCCATAGGGGTCTAAGAGCAGCAACTGCATAGGCACCCTCTGCCACCCACTCTAATTCTTTACTTAGGTATTCTGCAGGCTGAGGAGAGGTAATCACCCCCAAAGCTGTGCCCTGCCTCTCAGTTACGGACAAGTGAAATTTGGGCTGCGTAGGTGACCCCAGGGCAAGGGCTGCAGCCTTCGGAGTGGTGGCTGCAGAGCGGCTGGGCTGCACAGCTGCCGAGGGACCTTTATTTGGAGGCATGATGGGGACACTCAGTGCAATCACAGACAGATAGACAGTGGCTGGAGGATTCTCATACTCTGGTGGCATCAGTGCTATCCGAATCAGACGTCACACTGGGTCTCTAGGGCAGACCATTCTCGAGAAGACTGAATCATGATAACCAAGCTCCGAGAAAATTACTAGAAAGTTCTGTGTCCACCAAGTAGGGGCTGGAGTCTGGGGTCAAGGTCACCTGGTGATGGTGAAATTAAGGCTGGAGGATCCTTGTGGTTATTTTCCAGGTGACGGAGCCACAGCAGTCAGCCTTTGGAGGGGTGGTCTGGTGTGTGTACCACCCATAATCTCTTGCCTTGTGGGCTAGCCCTGCCCACTCACGATGAATCTCCACTAATAGCACTAATAAAGGCTTCCGCTTCCCTTGACGTGTGGCCAGGACTTGATTAGATTTCTAGGCTGTTCCTTTGCTTTTGGCCAAGCAAACATCCTGCCTTTAAAAGCAGCTTTTGTGGGCAGCTGATGTCATCTTCCAGGCTGGCTGCTCTGTTCCATGTTCAGGGTGATGCTGTGTCCACTCATTGCCTCCTGGAGAGAGAAAATGAACAGCAAGCAAGGACAGGCATGACCAGGCATGAGAACGGTGAATGATGGTGATGGAGCCAGCATGCTGGGGGCTTGGGCTCCCCTACCAGGCAAAGTCACTGCACAGAATGGTGGCTTGGAGTCATACTGGGTACTGGCACTCAAACCCAGGCTTGCTGGATCCTGAAACCCTTGTCATCATTGTTGTCCTCTTCTGCCTTCTGCATTCTTTCTGTTTGTGTGTGTGTGTGTGTGTGTGTGTGTGTGTGTGTGTGTGTGTGTGTAGGCAGAGAAGGACATTGGGTGCCCATTTCTATAATTTCTTACTTTATTTCTTTGAAGCAGGATCTCTTCCTGAGCACAGAGCTCGGCTTACTCAGCTAAGAAGGCAGCCAGAAACCCCCAGAAGTCTCCCTGCTTCTAGAATTACAAGCACATCCAAGCTCATGATTGCCTTGTTCCATGGCTGCTGGGATCTCAACTGAGGCCCTCATGGTTGCAAGCAAGTGCTCTTGACTACTGAGCTTCCTCTGAAGTCCCGTTCCTCCTCATTTTTTTTTAAAAGACATGATCTGTCTGTACAGTCCAGTTTGGTCTTGAACTCCTCATCTTCCTGCTCCCTCCTAAATGGTATCATTACAAGTGTGTACCACCATGCCCAGACAACCCCTGCCCTCAGCCACCACACTGGTGCTTGTGGGCCCGAGATGCTCTCTTGGCTTTCACGAATGTACATGCCTCCTCAACCCGGGGAGCAGTGACCAGGAGCTCAAGTCTGAGTCTGAGGAAAGAGCATTCATTTCTGCTTTAAAGAGCCTGTGACAAAACACTTAGTTCAAGAATTTCAACAAAACAAACACATGTTTAAAAACAAGCACTCAGGCCGGGCAGCTGTGGCCCACACCTCTAATCCCAACACTTGGGAGGCAGAGGCAGAGGCAGGCAGACTTCTGTGAGTTTGAGGCCAGCCTAATCTACAGAGTGAGTTCCAGGACAGCCAAGGCTACACAAAAAAACCCTGTCTAGAAACCAAACCAAACAAAACAAAAAGAGCAGCCAGGCTCACTTGGTCACGCTAAGAGCCCTAGCTGTTCTTGCAGAAGACTTATGTCAGGAGGCTCACAAGCGGACCCATTTGCATATTCCCACAAACACACACACAACTGAAAGAAGTTAATTGTGAGAGCTCTTGGAATCCACAGAGGGGCTGGGACACACCTCCTCGTCCCATGCTGCCAGTGAGAGGCACATGGGAAGCAGAATCCAGTCTCTCCAGCCACCTGCTGATAGACCAGGGGCAGCAGCCAGGAGAAAGATGGCACCCTCTGTGGCTGGAACTGCCTGGGCCAGTGCCACTGGGAGAATCGTGCTTCGAGGTGTCAGGAGAGAGTAGCTGTGCCCTCATCCGCAGCACGTGTCTGTGGTCACTGGCTGTCCTGCCCTTGCCTTGGCACCTCCCAGCCTCATGGTGACTCCCAAAAGGAGCCTGTACAGTTCTCAAAACACTGTCCGTACCTCTGTGAAGGGAAGGGGTCAGCCACCCCTCAGCCAGTGGCCGGACCCAGGAACTTAGAGTGTCATCCTCATCAGACCCTTTCTTTTTCTGTCTGTTTCAGAAAACACCGGGTCCAGGAGCATACACAGCTTCGAGACAGTACCCCAAGCAGTCCCCAACCATTGCCAGAATGGGTAGAGAACACAGCCTCTTTTTCAATAATACAATCGGCTTTTAAAATAAATTAATATTGGTGACAAGCAACTTTGAGTTTTAGCAAGTTCTTCTGTTTAGAAAACGATCTTGCCTGCTTCCTGCGGGGCTTGACCACAAAGCAAGAGCAGTTGCCTGGGTGACCATCCTGGACAGCCCTAGTCTGGACAATCAGTCGCTCTGCTTAATCCAGGGGTGCAGCTGTCCCAGAGACTGGCCCGGGCCAGGCCTGATGGCAGTGTATGTGTCCAGGCTATGTGCTGCATGGCCTTGGTTTCTCCAGCTCCATCACACTAGGACCTCCAGGTCCTCTTGGAGACACCTATGGGAGAGCTGCATCAAGCCGCAGGTAGAGCTGACAAGCTCCCAAATGGTAGTATGGCTCAACCTGTATACAGCCACACAACAGATAACAATGGGGTCAGTGATGAATACATATGACAATGGCTTCTGGAGAATACACAGGAGCAGAAAAACCTCGTTGCCTAATGACATTGTAGTACAAGTTTGTGGTGACACCAATATAAACAAAGCCATTACCCTGTCTGTTGTGTGAAAGCATGACACTGTCCTACAAGACTGTTCTCCCAGACAAACTGTCACCACCTCCGCCATCTGCAAGAGATTATCATGCCAAGGCTGGCTGACTGTTGATGTTCCCTCAGAAGATGGGCCTGGTAATGGGATTCTCCCCCAAGTATCCAGCCACGCTGCCCAACCTGTTATATGCAATTCCATCCTAATGGTGCATGGCCTCAGTGAGCTTAGAGGAATACAGGCTGGAAAAGACTGGGAAGTCATTGTCTGTGCAGCCATGTGGGAGCCATGACCCGTGCTGGTTGCAGACTTGCCATCCATACTCCTTTTGTCCATCAATCCTCATTGATTATTCTGTGAGTGACCCTAGTAAACTCATCCGTTTCCCACGGAAAACTTTAGAATTATGCCTTAGTGTGTCGCTGGGACCGCAGGAGGGGAGGGGTAGACGTTGTGTGATCCTCAGGAAGGAATTTTAGCCATAGCTGCACTATAGCTATCGTACAGAGTAAAATGCACGAAAACAGATGGCTATATCACTGGTTTACCTACTGTGCTATGGCTTTACCCCCTTCTCTTGCCATGTATCATTTGCTGTATGTTTAACCTGTGTGTTTGTGCAATTGTGTGTGTTGGGAGCCACACACAGGCCCATGCATACGACAAGCATCGTTTTACCACCAAGCCTCAACTTGGCTCATTTATCATTAGAGTATATGCTTTTTACTTATTAAAAAAACAGTAAGTCCACAGGAAAATAGTATATTATGGGATAGGCTCAGCAGGTTAAAGTGCCAGAACCCGTGTAAAAGGCGAGCATGGCAGTATGCATACGATCCTAGTGCTGGGGTAGAGGGCAAGAGGCAGGACAGGCAGATCCAGTTAGTCTAGCTGAAATGGCGACCTCCAGATTCAGCGAGAAACTGTGTCTCACAAAATACTGGGTAGAATGATAGAGGAAGATACTCAAAGCTGACCTATTGGGCCCCACATGCAGGCATGGGCCAGTGTCTCTACACACTGGCGTGCACACATGCATAAACACAGATATACACCCTAGTACACTGTCAGGCCTGTCAGCAACCTCAGGCACCTCATGTTCACTCTTGATTGCATCATTTTCCTGTGCTTGATTTAATGTCATCTTTTATTCATCACAGTTCTAGAAGCATAAGCGTACCAATTACATAGGTATGCCGTAAATATGCATACATATATATCATATAACATACAACATTTAGCTTTATGTCTGCCTACAGTAGCCAAAACCTGTATGTCCCCACTAAGTGCCCATGACTGTATTTCTGATTCCTGGTCAATGGAGACCTTGAGTATCTACTGTATGCCGGGTGCTGTGCCGGGTTGAGGGGCTTGAGACAGAGATGAAGGGTCATGGGATTGAGTTTGGCAGGGTAACAAGGCCTAGGAGGAGTCTAGGAAGCTGGGGGACCGACCGGTGCCAGGATGCTCCAGCAGACCCTGGAGGTCTGAGGCTCCGAGACTGTCCTCACGCAGGTGACAGCTCTAACGTGAAGACCACCTCTAGTCTTTGAAACATGCAGATCTTTGCTGGTGTCCAGAAGAGGGCTGTGACCTGCCACATGTGTTCAGTGGAGGGAGAAGGCAGAGGAGACAAGCCCCAACACATGCAAATGGAAGCCTGGCTAGTGCCCAAGGGACCCAGGAGGCTGAGATGAGCAGGGAGGAAAGGGGAGGCCAGTGTGGGCCGAGGATCGCCATCTGGGCAAAAGGCCAAGGCTGGGATAAACACTTGCTGAGGGAGAGGCAGAGGAAGTGTGGTCCTGCAAGAGTGGAGGGGAGAGAGGGCGTGGGAGGCAGGGCAGTGAGCCTTGCACAGCAGAACGTCCTTTGCCGGGAGGGTCACCAGATAGGTCCTCTGAAAGGCAGCAGGGCTCAGAGGGGACAAACAACCCAGAGTTTGGCAAATACTTTAAAGATTAATAAAACTAAAAAAAGTTTTATTTTCTCATATTTAAAAAGTGAAAAGGGCACACCCTGTCTCTGGGCTTAGAAGTCCTCATAACATGTTCTATTCCCGTCTTTACCGTTGGGAGGAAACTCCCACCTACAAAACCATCCTGGGCTTGTGGAATGTAAGAGGTTTTTGTTTTTTGTTTTGGTTTGTTTTTTTTTCCTGCTTTGAACATAGTGACATAGCAGAAAGGCTCAAGGTTTGTTTGTTTGTTCGTCTGTTTTTTAAAAAATAGATTTACAAGACAGGGGTTTTCTGCGTAGCCCTGGCTGTCCTGGAACTTGCTTTGTAGACCAGGCTGACATCAAACTCAGAGATCCACTTGCCTCTGCCTCAGGAGTGCTGGGATTAGAGGCATATGCCACCATCACCCAGTGGTCTCAAGTTTTATTCCCCCAATGAGTCCGAGTTCCTGAGGAGGAGTTTCAAGAGGAGGAGAAAGAGAAATGGATAGATCTGGTTTGACACTGAACTTAACGAGAACCAAAAACCAACAAAACACACTTAAGAGGCAGAGGTAGACGGATATCTTAGCTCAAGGGTAACCTGTTCTAAAGAGTGAGTCCCAGGCTACACAGAGAAACCCTGTCTTTAAAAAGAAAAAAGCACTGAGCTTGGCTATGACATCGGGACACTGGCACTTAGCAGCTCAGAATAATCTGTGCAATCAAATGGCATGTCTGAGAGACTGGCTTAGGACCCCACAAATCTAAGGGACTACAGACCTTCCTGGACTGGTCCCCATTCCATCTTAACCCTTCGTAAATTCGGGAGGGGTTCTCCAGGGTCTTAAGAAATCCTGCCTCCTCCCCAACATTGGCTGTGACAGGCCTTCCCCAGGCCTCTTCTCTGGTTTCCTGGAGCAGCTCTCTTCCCCTTGACCCCCTCCTCTAGCTGCTCTGAGTATTTGGCTCCAACCAAAGGGAATATGTCTCCTTGGCTGCAAAATGCCTCATACTATGCCCGTGTGAACTTTCCTTTTCATTAAGCAGAGGATGTCAAAAGTCACAGCACTGGTGTGGGCAGCCTGGCCTCATTCTCGCTTTCCCAACCCTGTCCTGTCACTGCTCTGGACCCACAGGCGTAACTACTTCTGCTCCAGTGGCTACGTGGCAGGCACAGACACAGACATTGAGGGTAAGGACCATAGGTTGCCCAAGTGCCCAGTCCTGTCTCCAGACTCATCTGTGTAATACACTCACCTATGGCAATGTGCATGTGTGTATGAGTGTGTACATGTGTGCACGTGTGGGTATGTGTGTGGTATGTGTGGGTATGTGTGTGGTGTGTGTGTATGTAATATGTGTGTCTCTGTGTGTGTGCATGTGTGTGTGTCCTTAGCTTACCCAGTCATCTGTCATTGTGCACTTGGATTGCTTCCATGGTTTAGCTTCTGTGAACACAAATGTATAAATATCTTTGGGACTCAACTTTCAGTTCTTCAAGGGAATCCCAGTAGAATTGAGGATCATACAATAGTCCTATGGTAGTTTTGAGGAACTATCATATTGTTTTCAACAGTAGCAGAACCATTTTCTGTTCCCACCAAGAGTGCATAAAGGGTTTACAGTTTGCCATATCCTCAGAAAAACAATTTCTGTTTTTGGTAGTAGCCATCCTACTGGGCATGAGGTAGGAGTTGTGGTTTTTATACCGCTAGTCATTAATGATGTAGAGCATCTTCTCATGAACTTACCGGGCATTAGTGTGGAGGAGTTCTCTGTTTGTGTTGGGGTTTCTGTTGTGCTTTGGGGGTCCTGGGGGGTCCTGGCTCAGGGTCTTTGCATCTCAGGCAGGCTCACCACTAACCTGTATCCTCAGGACCTGGGCTATAGTATCTTAACAGTAAGACGCAGTTTGCAAATGCTTTCTCTTCTATGAGGTGCTTTTTTACACTGTTGATAATGTCTTCTATATAACATTTTGTTTTGTTTTGTGTTTTAAGTTTGTTTGTTTTTCCGAGATAAGGTTTCTCTGTGTCACAGCCCTGCCTGTCCTGGACCAGGACTGTAGACCAGGCTGGCCTTGAACTCATAGATCTGCTTGCCTGTGCCTCTCAAGTGCTGGGATTAAAGATGTGTGCCATCTCTACCTAAGATTTTTAAATATTCATGAAATAGTTTCTGTTCCTGTTGTCTGTGCCTTTGCTGTCACATCCAGGAAGTCATCAAATATAAGTGTTCTAAAGCTTTTTCCCTGTGTTTTCTTCTAGGATTAAAAAAAAATGTCTTTGATTTTTTTTTATTAACTTTGAGTATGGTTGTAGGCAAGACTCTAACCTCATTCATTTGCATATGGATATCCAGGTTTTCAAGCCATGTTTGTTAGGTCTGCCCTTTGCTACTGAATGGTCTTGGTACCCTCGTTATTCAGAGGATGGATAGGACTAGCTAGGAGCCTTAGACAAAAGGTAACACAGCAAAGTTTTCAGTTTGAAAAATATATCACAGTGTGAAAGAGTATAGGGGCATAGTCGCTACACACGCTTAGCCTCAAATGGTTCACAACAAAGCATGTGGTTTGGAAGGTGATTAGTGACTGCTTGCTAAAGTCTAAAGATGTACTCGAGAGAGGGAAGGGCCGAGTGACTGAGAAAAAGAGGTGGTGACATTCTGCACCTGCTTAGGTGCCCAGTCCACCTGCCAGGCTGTGGACTCACCCAGACCCACAGTGGCCCGTCCAGCCAACCTGACATCAGGATTCTGGAGTCCCATAGCCCAACACACAGTTCCCACAGTCTATTTACACTCCCAGTCTCCTGGCATCTTAGCACCATCATTGTTTAGGAAATCCACAGATCTTTGCTTAAGGAATCACCACTCTAGCTGCAGAGGGGCTGGGTGATGGGTGGCATGGAGCACCATCCAGTCCTCCTCTTAACAGCCAGCCTGGTGACTCTGTTGGCAGTTTGGTGGCTTCTAGGAACTCAAGGCCCTAGACTGGTGGTGGTCTTCCCTGGGACACTGTCAGAGAAGACTATGGTGGTAGCATCCAGGAGCCCATTTTCCTTCTGCTGTGGCAGTGAGTGGCCTGTGTCTCCATCCCCAGAGCCCTTGAGCTCTTTAGAGAGTGGCAGAGGACAGAGCACAGACCCTGTTAGAAACCATGCAAGGGTGGTTAAGACATGATCTTTTTCTTGGGGACAGGGCTCCCCCCACCCCCGAGGGTGTGGGCTACCAAAGGGGTGATTAGCAGCTGTGAGTCCAGCGTCATGAAAATGGCCATGTGCAATGCACGGATGTGTGTAGGCTCGTCATTGTCACTAGGAGGGGTCCCCACTACTGCTCCACAGGAAACGGGGACAATGAGGAAGGTGGGTGTGTTCTTCTGCCTGCCCCTTAACAGAAGGGCCTGCTACTTCTCAAGGACCATCTCAAAAGGGACTTCTGCTGAGCGTCTTGAAAGGGACTAAATTCTAGTTATATAAGCTGCTATATTTTGTGTCCTGAGGTCTACAGCTTCTGTCACAACTGACTGGATCATGGCAATGCACACCCCCAAGGGAAGCCAACCAATAGAATGCTGAAGGCCGAGTGACCCATACAACAAGTGGGACCAAGTAGATCTTCATGCTCAAGCATAGTGCTGTAGGTGGTAGGGCAGGCAGGGGAGGCTAAAGGCCAGGGCGGTGGTGTTCGGAGTCCTCAAAATGTTTTCTTTACATGATCATAATCCACGAAGCAGGTACCGTGCCACTGTTTCTTTGCGGATGAGAAAACAGGTACAGAGAGGTTAAGCAACTTGTTCAAGGCCACACAGCCGCAGAGGATAGGTAAGTCCCAGCTCAGCTGGTAATTATGGTGTCACCGTCCTGCTTCTATCATAGGATCAAGGTCACCGGCTGCTTTAGCCCCAGCCCCTGGCCTAGGGGCTCCTGGGAGCAACTCTTGCCTGTTGCATTACCTTCAATGAACCTCTCTTCTTTACAACTAAAAGCACTTGGCAATTTCAGAGGACTTCTGGCAGGGAACAACAGAGACTTTGCAGGCACCTCCCCAGACTCCTGGGATCCTTGGTTCAGCACTGTGGGGCTGGCCTCAAGGCTGCTCAGGCAAAGAGAAGAGTTAGCAGCTGGGATGCATAAATGGGAGGCTTCTGAAGGCCAAGAAATATTTGCATGGTGGTGATATCTGAGTGCTTTGTCAGGGAGCCTGTTCAACAATGAGCACTTTGGTACCCAAAGAGTTGGAGTAGTGGCAGCTGAAATTCCATTCATATTCATTTCTGCAGATTAACACTGTTAATTCAGACAACCACAACTGTGTGTGTGTGTGGGGGGGGGGTGGATGCCTTAGAAAATGGTGGGTGGTTAGAGGGCCAGAGGGAGGGAGAGTGCAAGGCAGGCCTAAGTCTTGTTCACAGACTTAAGCCCTTATGCAGGCACAGTGGGTTTAAATTCCAAGCAGTCTTTCTGGTCCTCTAATGAGGGACTGTGAACATGGTCTATGGCCTGGAGCAGGCCGGGGGGTGGGGTGGGGTTGGTGGTGTCAGGAAATGCCAGGAGTCAGTCTCCACTGCTTGACCCTCCAACATTTGACTACTTCCAGGTCAGCAAGGGCAACACTTTGTTGAACAGAAGGCCAAGCCTCTAGCTTTTCCTGTCTCTCTCCTGGTCCGGCAGACATCTCCATTGTCTCTGCGGCAGTCTGAAAGGGCAGAACATGAAGGGCTTGGGTGTGTAAGGAGTAATATGACACCAGTTGTCAGTCACTGAGATGTGTGGTGCCCGAGGGCTAGGTGACAGTCCTCAGGGCTGGGCAGTGGTGCATGCCTGCAATTCCACCACTTGGAACACAGTGGATGGAACAGTCAAGGTGGTCCTTGGCTACATCTTGAGTTTAAGGCTCAGCAGTAAAAGGCATATGCTTGCTATTCTTAGGCTCTGGGTTCAATGTGCCACACCGCTACCATTGAAGGGGGAAAAATCCAAACACAGTTGGGACCCTGTCATGTTACATGGGCAAGGGTAGAGATGGAGGCTGGCTGCAGTGGGAACCAGAAGAGCAGAGGGCTCGGACCAGAGCAGCACTGACTTCTGGACATAATGGCTGTCCTCAAGGTACAGGTGTTGCTCTGGGGGTGTACGAGGCAGTCCCTTGGGGGTCATGATAGAACAGAGCTTCCCTGTGAATTTAAATCACTTTGAAAAATTTTGGTGCACGCCTTGTAACAGCTTATATTGTGTAATTATACAATTATAATTAGTGAGGTATAATTACTCCAGATGCATTGCTGTGGGCTTCTCTGCAGACAGGCTCACCTGGATGTGGTCCAATCACCCCCAATCCTCAAGGTTCCCTAGTGGATAGGCTTATTTGAAGGACAGGCTACAGGCCAGAACCAGCCCTTGCCCAGACCTTCTGCCTCCTTACACCCCCCAGGCATTGGCCCTGACCCCTAGTCTCTCTCTCGGCTCATCCAACAAGGCTCAACCCTCTTGAAGGCCAGTCCTCTTTTCTCTTTCTCACCCTCCTGCCTTCTAGCTCTTCCTCTGTCGTGGCCTTCCTTTCCAGGGCCTGGGTAAATGAACACACTGCTTCAGACAGTACTGTTTTCCCCTTCAAGGGTCCTTTATTCACTTTCCAAAGTCACTTTTAGGTACTGGGCCTGTCTACCATGGCCTCCAAAGAGGGAATGCTCAGTCAGATGCATTTGGTGTCTTTCCCACCGCCAAGATTAACCACTGTTTCTTCAAGGAACACCAATAGTATCTGCTTATTTTTTACTATAACAGAATTCCACAAAAATATAGATCTCTAGCATATATATCTATATTTATATACACACATACACATAGAGACCCTTTAAGCAAGAGACCAAGGATTGAATAGTCTACCTTTGGCCTGGGGCTGTGGCCAGGAGACACCAGCTCTCTGGGGACACAAGATAAATCAGTAGGGCATCAAGCAACGCCCAGTGGCTTCTTCCTTTCAAGGAAGCTATGGCCGGCCATGGTAAAGCAGAGCAGCTCTCAACCCCTTTCTGCATTTAAATTGGGAGCAAGGTGAACCCGAGGGAGCTTCCAAGCAGCATTCAGGGCAGACAGAAGGGAGCTCTCCGCCAAATCTTTGGGAATGGCTTCCTGAGGGAAAGTGTCAAAAGCAGAGTGGATGACTGATGGGCCAGTGAGGGTTATCTGCCCAGCCACCCAGACCCTGGCAAACAGATCACATGGGCAACAGAAAGTTGAGGCAGGCCAGGTTCCTCCTCCATCTCTATCCAACCATGGCCTCTGTGGAGATCTGGGTAGGTGAGCTTAAAGGGCCAGGCTGGGGCTTTGGGTCACTCAACAAAGCCCAAGTGAAAGCTGGGCTGTGAATGATGAGGTGTACTGGGGTGAGTCCTATAGACTGTCATTTTGATGTCACTCACCCAAGAGGGACCTGCACTGTAGGGAAAGCCTTGAAGGAACTGTACCTAAGGCACTAGAAATGGCTAGGTTCTATATTTTCAGGCCTATCTTAGAGGCCACTGGCCTTACTTGCTGGGACGTGTTTCCAGGGTCATGAGAGTGAGTGAAAATGGAAGACTTAGGAACTATTTAGGGGCTTGGCTGGACCTGAGCCCCAAAGGCACTTGATGGTACAGAGAAAGCACATAGGAGACCTCCCCACAGAGGTAACACCAGGCATCAAAAGCCCTAACTCAGTCTGAGAGGAAGCAGGAGTCCACTGTCCGCCTTGTGTCTAGAACCTCACACTGTGTTTGTTTTGGGCAAGGCCTCAAGCTTGAACTGCCCTGAGATTGAGGGGAGAGGGTTGGGAGGGTGTGTGTCCAAGGTTGTCAAGCATGTAGAATTATAGCTCTGCAAAGTTACTTAAATTCATACCAGTTCATCTCCTAAGGCACCAAGAAAGGCATCCAGGAAAAGCTTGGCCCAGCCAGAGGGTGCTGGCAAGTTCATCTCTATGATGCACCAACTCAAGACTGGTTCATCTCAAACCAGGAAATTCAGCGGTCAGGGAGGCTAAGGGCAGGGCTTGGCTCCAAGGCACACCTTTTATCCAAAGGGAGCCCATGCTTTCTCAGGGGAGAGAGGCATTTGCTTCAGATGCAAATCTTGTCCACCCAGCTTCAGACAGGAGGAGCTCCGGCTCAGCTGGCCCTGCTGGAGGTGGGAGGAGGGGAGAAGTGGCGTCGAAGCCCGTTGAAGTGTTCACTAGTCATCTATTCCCTGAGGCCACACTCCTGAGCGCAGCTGTCCTTCCTTGCCCTCTGCTCGTGTCTGCTGCCTGCCCTGGGCAGCCTGTGGCTGCTGCCGAGGCTAGAGCTCTCTGGGGATGATGGAGAAGGGGAGCACGGGGCTGCTGGCCTCCAGCTCCAGGGCGGTGAGAAAGCAGTCCACAGCAGCCTCGTTCTGGCCTTGGCCCTGCAGCACCTCCCCCAGGCCCTGCCACGCCTCGTGGCAGGTGCTCTGCCTCTCCACAGCATCCCGCAGAACCTTCTGGGCCAGGCTCTTGTGGCCCAGTTGACTCAGCATCAGACCCTAGAAACAAAGCACAGGACAGGGTTAACGAGGCTGGGCAGAGGGATCTTAGCAACCAGGGGAGAACTGCAGTTACTTGCTCCTGGCCACCAGCCAGAGAGGCCCTAGGCCTGGCTTGGCCACAAATGACCATGCCCTTTACTCATGCAAAACCCATCTGTCCCCGCCCAAGCCCCGCTTTAGCTCTGGAGGAGCTAGGCTCCTGTTATCTTTAAAAGACAGGCCTTCGAGCCTAGACCTGATTTTGAGTGGTCCCATGTAGGAAATTCTGGGCCCTCTGTTCACTCTTCAACAAATAGGGAAAAGAATAATGAAAATTATCACAGCATGGCTGTCTGGGATGGCGCCGCTGAATTGAGTCAGCGGAGGCAAAGCTGTCAAAAAAGCTCATGCCTGCAGCATGGAGCTGCCCCTCACCCCGGAGCACTGACAGCATGAAGTATCTAGTTTGTGACAGACGGGAAGCTTCTCTGCCTGTATCAGCAGCCCGTCTTCCTGGGGACTACTGGGTCCTGACAGCCAGACACATCCTGGCAGCTGAGGGGCACAGCAGGGAGGGGGTAAGTGTGGAACGCAGTTGCTGAATGAATGAGTTAGAGGGGGCTCAGGGATGAAAGACCCTGGACGGCCATGTCAAGAGGCAGGAAGTGTGGCCTTGCAGTTTAGCTCAAAGGACGGTTGCCAGGGAACTAGAGTGTCAGGAATTGTCAAATGAGAGAGAAGGAAGTGAAACTAGCAGCCTTGAACATCTCCTCCCTCCCTCCACACCAGGGACAGTAGACAGGGTCAGGGTATGAAGAAGACTTCAGATCCCAGAAAGGCTGCTCTGTACCATTCTACTGATCTCTGTCAAGCTTTGAAGGCATCCCAAGATGCTGAGAAGTGGGCCCTTTTTTTTTGTTCCAAAGAGTGGAGGTAAATCTCCAACTTTGACTTCCTGGGCAGGCAGGGAACCAGGGTGGGGGCGGGGACTGTCTTTGTGCTTGAAGCCCCCTCTCTGCAGCCCGCCCACTGATGGCCATGTACATTTTTAGCTGGATTATTTTCCTCCTCCCCAAGTTCCCCAGAGTTAGGCCCTTGGTTGCTATGGAGACGCACCAGGAAAGATGTACATGGCTGACTTCATAAAGTCCTAAGAGAGCTTGGAACGTGACCAATTAGGCAAGAAAGATGGTGCTTAGGAAGACTGGGAAAGGCTGTCTCCAGAGGCGCTGGCTGGAGGTCCTGGGGCCAGAAAGCAGGGAGACACAACTGACTTCCAGGTTGGCCCCCTCCTCTGACCTTAAGCATAGACACACCCAAGGAGCCACTCAGTTCAGGCTGTACAACAGCAGGTGGGGGCGGGGTGCAACCTCATTCGGAGCTCTGACCAGATGCACACAGCAGTGCTGACTCAGGGTTACCAGAGCCTGGGGCAGTGTCTGTCTGGCTGGCAGTGGTCAGGCCACACTGTTATGCCCACATGGCTGGGGCAGGACCTTAAGTAGCTCACAAGGGAACAGGGCCCACGGGCTGAAGGAAGCCGATGGCTGTCAGACAGCAAAATGAAGTACCAAAAATGGGAGGTCTGAAGCCTGGGAATGCTGCCCACAGGGAGTGACAGAGGCCAGAGGCAGCCAGCAAGGCCTATCAGAGAGGGTGGGCCTACTTGCTTCTTTTCTCTGAGCTCTCTTTCTGGCTCTTTCTTCCACAGGAAGCTTTATTGGCAAGAAGAGTCCACTGAAGTGCAGATCAAGAACTCCGGACCTCTAGCTAGGCCTGGTGGTTCAATCCTGTCATCTCAGCCACTTGTGAGGCTGAGGCCTGCCTAGGGAACAGAATTCAAGGCTAGCCTGGGGAACTTAGTGAAACCATATCAAAATAAAGAGAGCTGGAAGGGAGGGGTGGGTAATATCTCAGTGGTATACTACTTCCCTAGCAAATAGAAGGCCTTACATTCAATCCCGGGATGACAAAGTGGAAAAACAGAGAGAGAGAGAGAGAAAGAGAGAAAAGGTGTGGGTGTCTGGGAAGGAGTCAGATGTGTCTGAGGCTGATGTGTGTTTCAGTTAGGACAAAGCCCAGGACTTAGCAGCCAGAAGGCCTAGCTGGGTTGAATCCTAGCTCTGCCATTCACATATACTGTGACCCCAGCAAATGGTCACAGATCTCTGAGCTGTGATGTCCTCATCTGCAAATCAGGGGATGGGAGAGCCCTTTCTCACAGGGCTGTTGAGAATTCTGGAAGGATGGTTTTGGAGAAGGTATAGCTAGACACACAGCAGGCAGCTAGCAAAGGGCAGCCTCTCTAGGAGAAGCACAGCGGGTGTGTGGCAGGGAGAGCCCAGCACTGTCCATTTCTTTAGAGGCTGGAGATGACTGGGCCTCTATTAGGAAGGGCTGTGCAGTGGGGCTGGCTCCTGTCCCCCTGCCTCACCATGCTGACCTTAGAACCTGAAAGAAGACACCAGGCCAGGCTGGGGTCAGGCTAAGTCCTGGAGGCCCAGGGCCTGTAACAGGATCTGTGGCCACCTGCCCCTGACACCAGCAGCGTTTGTGTTTGGTAGCAACTCAGTGCTGTTTGCTGCCTGACAACTGGGTGGGGCCCAAGCACAGGAGGATGCAAGGTCTCACCTGCTGTCCCCAGCCTGGCGCTGCCCCAGGGTCCATCAGCACCCTGCCATCACTTCACTGGCTGTGAGAACAGTCTCCAGGGAGATGGTGGGAACACAGAACTGGTATCTCAGTTCCACCTACACATCCCCATGGAATGGCCCTCTCTCCTTGCCCCTCATCTGCTGGGAGGGATCTAGTCCTGTGAAGAGGACCTTTGCTTCTGACCCTTCACTGTGGTGCCAGAACTGGGCTACCCATTCACAGGGATTTGGTAGCCATGTAAAAGTTATCTGTGACATGGAATACAGTAGGTGCAAGGCACACTTTGGGGCTAGAAACAGCCATCACTGGGGCTTCTGGGGGTTGGGGGGGGCACCTGCCCTCATCCATCTTTCAGGGCTCTGCTCTCCCAGGAAACCTTTCCTGAATTCAGCAAACCTTAAAAGACACACATCACATTTGGTTATTGTGGGGCTCTTGTGGACCTTCCCAGGCCTGTGCTCCAGAAGAGCAACAGCGCCATTTTCCTGTCAGCCTTTCTGTTATAAGCCAGGTGGGAGGGGCCTGGACACAGCAGGGACATGCTCTGCCTTAAGGGCTTCCTGGGTTGGACTTGTGGAGCTCAGGAGGCCTACAAGGGCCCCCCAAGCAGCTGGTCTGAGGAGCCTTGCCTTGGCTGAGGTCTGGTTCTCTAGTCAGTCTAGAGACTGAGGGGTATGGGGCATTTCCTGTTAGGAGTTAGGTATTCTGTTGCTCTACAAGGGTAGACCAGAGGCTCCAGCTTGGTATGGAAAGGAAGGGTCTTGCTAGCCTTTTCCTGCCCTCTGCTATTAAACAGTATCTCACCCTATTAATTCAGTGCCCCATTATGTCTCCTAGAGTAGAGGCATGGCCAGGCCAGGCAGGGGTGGTCAGGCATTACCATCTTTTAGGGAGCCTGCCCTGGGAAGCCGTTCTTAGTGCTGGGCCAGCTATGGGCCAAGCTGAGTGCTACTACCCACCCCTGCCCTGAAGTATTTATAGAAGTTATTTTGGAAATTTTCTTTTGAGCTCCAGGCACATTGCTGGGATTCTGAAACAGCCTTTCCAGCTGGGAAGCTGGGAATCAGCCGGGAGGCTGCTGGGGCAGGCAGGTCCCTGGAGGCCCTGTTCGAAGCCGCTGGGGAACATGGAGGAGCCAGTGCCCTGGAAGGCTCTTCAGGCACACTTGCGGAGACTGCATGGTTCTAGGGCAGCGCTGGCTCCAGCTTTGCCCAAGTGTGTCACCTTCAGCCTGTCCAAACAGACCGGGGACACACCCTTCAAGTCACATACCCCTTCTAGAACATAGCCGCTGGAGCCACAGGCCAGTTCTCCTTCCCTGTTGGAGGCAAAGAGCACAAATCTTTCGAGATCCACCTACTTACTGCCCAGCTGGTATACTATCTCAAGGTCTCTTGAAGAGGCCTGTGCTGAGAAGGTACCCAGATTCACTGGGAGCCAGCCTAGAAGCCTTCTAGGGTAGCTGACGACTATCATATTTGTGTTGCCAAACCCAAGCTGCCCATTCCTTTCTCTTCCTCGGACTTGGGGATGCAGGGTGATGGTCAAGAGATCTAGCTGAGCTGGCCTCCCTGATTGGCTGGGGTTATCCGTCTTCGGAGGGGCCTCTGGGTTATGAGGACAAAAGCAGTAGACTGCCCAGAGGCAGGTCACATCTGGTGACTTGGCTTACAGAGAACCAGGAAGTGGAAGCCTTTGCCAGTGCTACCTCTGGTCTTGACTCATCCTCTTGGGGTCCAGTAGGAGGCTGAGCTTTGGTGGAATGATGAATGGCCATTTGAGGAATGGGTAGCTTACTGGACAAGGGGGCTAAAGGCAACCTCCAGACAAAGGTTTTCCCATTCCTTTGGATTCCGAAGCTAATCAAGTCACCTGTGCCTAACTGTCACCTGATCTGAACCTGTACCCGGCCAGGCAAGCCAGGCTGGGTTAGAGGGGAAATTCTGAACTCTGGCTGTGCTATCCACAAATACCTTTCATGGCCATGAACACCCATTCAGTGCCAAGGGGTCTCAAGTTGCCTCTAGAGCAGACAGAGAAGCATCCTTAAAACACTTCGGCAAGCCAAGAGTGGAGGGAGTGAGCCCATCTGTGGCTAGGGCTTGAGTCTTCTTTAGTGGAGCTGCATGGCTGCAGAATATGCTATCCCTAAATATGCCATCTTGGCAAGACTATTTTGGGTTAAAGACAACTGAAAAGAAGCGGAAACAAGAAGCAGACACATATAGGCCTTCTGCCTATTTGCCTAAGAGCAAACAAATCTACAAAGTCCTCTTTACCTCTACCAGAGGGACAGAGGTTGGTTATAGAAAACAACCTCAGGTTTTTATGGGCCCCAGGACCATGGGACGTCCACAGCAGCATACACTATTGTGCCTTCATCCCCCACTAGCTTCCCCTGTGTCTTCCCAAAATCTGCTGTCCCTAGAGATTCAAGGACTTCTCACCTTTCTAACATTGTAGGTTTTCTGTGGAAGACCGCCTAGGTAGGAGACTTCCTCTGAGATCAATTCATTTCCCCTGAGCCCTCATCCATTCCTCATCCACCACTGTTTGCTTCCTCTGTTGTTCATTTGCCATTTGTTTGGTGGGAGGTTTGGGTGACTGGCAACAACTCAGGAAGATGGAGAGAAATGACTTTTTCATCCATTATGTTGGGAAACGGGGTCAAGCTTCCATCTCAGCCTCACAAACAAGCAATGATCCTCCCTGTTCAGGTGTCAACACAGAGACTCACTGGGAGAACTCTCTCCAACACTGGCCACTGTCTTGGCTCCTGTATTCATTTTCCTCTAGGGGTGTCCAGTGCTGCTGACAGAGGTGTAAGGCAAGAGCCTGCGGTCCCTTCCTGCCCTTCCTGAAGAGCAACACTCCTCCCTTTGACGTTGGTGAAGACCCTGCTTCTCTACTCATGTTCTGTGGGGCAGACAACAGCAGGCTTCTTGATTAGATCCTCCGCCAACACCCTGAGTACCAGGTACTCCGGCTGTGAGGGGTTTCAGGTGCTGGAGGGAGGCGGAGACTGGCTGGCAGACACTCCTATGATTTGATTTCCATGCAGAAACTACCAAGTGAGACATGGGGGACAGCCTCCAGGACGGAGGGATCATGGGTCTTCTTGTTCTACTGTGGGCACAGTAGAGAGTTTATTGTGTGCATGTGTGTGGATGTTTTGTTGTTGTTATTGGGTTTCTTTCTTTTTTCCAGCACAGAACTATGAAGAAGGCAGGGCAAGACTTTTTTTTTTTTTTTTTTTTTTTTTGCCAGGTCTGGTACAAAACCCTAACTTGCATGGAAGGCAAAGTTAGGACCAGGAAGAGCTTGCCCATCACATCCAGGAGGGTGGATGGGGGAACAGGACAGAGCAAGGAAGTGAGCACCTGCTCCTGTCTTGGAAAGCTTTGCAGCCTTCTGCTCCAGGGAGCCTTCTTCTCCTGGTGTTTGCCAGCCTCACCCTATGACTACAGGGTCAAGCCTGGCTCCTACACAGTACCTTAGGAATAACCATCTTCCTCTTTCCAGACCCCAGGGAGGGGACTTCCCAGGGCTTCAGAATAATTCTCCAGCCCAGGCTTGTATGTGGCTGAGCTCCCACAGGGAAGGATGGCTCTCCTTTGTGCCTATGGTAGGTGGTGTCTTCATAAAGGTTTGGTGGTGGCGTATAGCTAGAATGTCTTCCTAGGAACCTGCCTTGGCAATGACTTTATGGTGAAAACAATACCCCTCTATCTTCTTCTCTTTAGATAATTTCTCTAAGGATGTATCTATCCCAGAATACACAAAATGGTGTCTCTTATTCTCCATGGATGGTTTCACAGTGAATTCTTGGTACAAACACCAAGCCAACTTAACCTACTGGAAGTGTTTTCCACTGTGTTGTATCACATTTAAAAAGATCCCAAGCTCTATTGATGCATGTGGGAATGCTATGATCGATTACCAATGTCTGTCAGTGAAGGGGAACTGGAGAATATGGGATGTATGCTATCTTGCCTGTTTCACTGTACACTTTCATGTGCATTATCTCATTTGATTAGAAAACACTACAGTCTAGGGACATTTATCATCCACTTATAAAAGGGGATTCTGGGATCATGGAAGTTAACTCTTTTCCTATGTCATCAAGTAAACCAAAGCCAGAGTCAGGATGAGAGCCCAGATGTCCTGAGTCGCAGGCCAGCACAAGGAAGACATTTAGATGAGGGAACACTGGAGATCAACATGCTAAAACATTCACACGTCTTTAGGAAAATATGCTTAGCAAATCTTCTCCAGGCTTGTAATTTGCTCTTCTTTATGCATACGTGTGGGTGCTGGCAGGAACAAAGCCTGTGGAAAGGGGATGGGCTGCCCACGCAGGAGCCGACTGCCCCTCTGGTAGCTGGTAACTGAGAGTGGGTAGACCTGGCTCTGACTTGCTCCAATTTCATTAAATCAGCAAGGCTCCCCAGGAAGAGAAAAGGGACCATTTCAGTAACATCTGCAGGGAGCTACTCTGGACAGCTATTGGGTTACCATGGAAACCCATGGTTGGAAAACTGCTTCAATTTCAAGAAAATAGCTACAAACAATAATAAGCATAAATGAAAAATGGTACACTGTTACCTCAAAATTGTACTTGTTATTGGATTTTGTTGGGTTTGGGGGTTGAGGCTGCAGGCTCAGATCCGTGAATAATGCCAGCCTCCTCAATAATCAAGTTTTTTGGACATGACCTCTAGTGAGGCATTAACCAGTGAAGCTAATGTCTGAAATGCAGGAGGAAGGGGAATGTGCCTGTGTGCCTTGTGAAAAAGCAAACACTAGCTGGGCTGACCACAGGACAGGAAGGAACTGTGGGCAGGGACAGGGCTGTGTCATGTGTGGCCTCTTTTTTGTTGTTTTTTAAAAGCTAGGGCTCAAAATTCACACAGCCTAAGAAGAAGCCTGGCAGCAGGAGTGAGAGACAGCAGGGAATCTTTGCTTGGTTCTGTTTTCAGGAACTAGTTGGGTTAGGAAGAATATAAAGACACTTTGATCCAGCCTGTCCCTGGAGTCAGGTTCCCATCCTCTCAGTGTGTGCCTAAACTTCTTAAACCCAACTTGAAACCCAGCTCCTAGAAGAGATAAATAAGACCTCTTCGGGCAACCGAAACCCTCTGACCATATGGAACTATCCCCGCTCTGTTTTCTAGGTGGCAGATGTTAGGGATACTGCAGTAGCCATTCTCACGGTGAGGGGCCATCCAAATGGAACCTAGACCTCAACAAGTTCTCTCTACTGTGAGCTACTAAATAGTCTTTCAGGATCACTTATGCCCCTGCAGAGGGCCTTTCTTCCGCTACTCCATCTGTCCCAACCTCTGTTCTTTGGAAGCAGCGAAGGAAAGCAGAAGAAAGGTCCTCTGTAGTCTGACTCTATCAGAGAAAGAAACACAATCACACTTCCCTGATCAATCTTCACTGGATGAGTAAGCAACATCAAGGTTCAGACAGTGGCTCACCTACCCACAAGTGATCAAACGCTTCTCAGCTACCAAATCTCCCTCTGTGGGTGTGTCACTGTGCCCTTGGTACCCAAGGCTGTGTCCATGTTCCAGACCTGGGGTCTGGTGGACCCTTTTACAACCTAGGGGTCATTCTTAACATATACTCATACCAGACCCAACACAGTTCACTCCTGAGAACCTTGAGTCCCCCAAGGAGACAGGGTTCCCCGGGAATGGAAGAGGCAGCCCAAAAAATGGGAGAGTCTGAGGACCCTTATAAAACGCATTTTGACAGCTGCCTACAGTCTACAGGGTAAGGCTCTAACAAGTGGCCATGAAATCTTTGGGAGACGATCACACACAGACCTTCACAGAAACATGGAAGTCACAGAAAAATGCCAACTAACCCTTCTAGAATTTTTTTTTTCATCAACACAGACTCTGATGGGAGGGAGACAGCTCACACCTACAAGACACACACAGATGTCTCTCACGGCAGAACTGGCAGAAAGCCACCTCCTAGAGATGGCTGCTGCAGCAAGGTGCTGGCAGGAAGAGTGAGGGGGATGGGAAGGGAGGTCATGGGAGGGAGGGTGACTCACCAGGCTGTGCATGATGCACACACCATCTGGGTTCACGGTGAGCGCCTCCTTGTACAGCTGCTCGGCCTCTTCTAAGTTGCCCTTCACCTCAGCCAGCCGGCCTCGCATGTAGAGCACCGAGTGAGAGGTGGGGAAGAGGCCAGCGGCCTCCTGGATACAGAAACCTGCTTCCTTGAGTTGTCTCTGCTCCATGAACAGATCAGCTGGGAAAACAGAGGGGCCGAGGGAAGTGTGAGTGGTGCTAAGTCATGGGCAGCGGCCCCAGCCGGCATCCCTGAGCCAAGAAGGCCGACTAAGCCATAGAGTCACAGCACAAGGCTGCCCACAGCTTCAGCCAATGCCACAGAAACCCTGGATGAAGTACTTTCACCACCCCACTTTAGAAAGCCAGAATTGCAGAGGGAGGGAGTAACTGAAGGATTCAGAGTTTGTGTCAGCCATCTGGGAATGGTGTGGCCAGGGCTGGATGCTTGCTTGCGTGTCTCTGACACATGTTTCAGTGTCTGTCTACTGCATCTGTTCATGGCTTCTCTGGGCAGATGACAGGATGGAAACAGGCCAGGTGACTCTTCCTGGAGGTCTGTCAGTCTTGAAGCAGATTAGCTGAGGGGTTTACTAGGCCCTGGCATGCTCAGGATGAGGTGGGAGGAAGAAGCACTGGAAGGATGGAAGCAAAGAAGCCTGGGACCTCTCATGAGGCCCACAAAGCCAAAGTGCAAACCAAGTGGTTACATAGCTACCACCTATCTGTAAGGAGGCTTACTGGGGGCAAACCCTAACTTCACAAGCTATTTTGTCTCATTAATTCTGACAAGCAGTCTTGGAGAAAGGCATGCATAATTAAAATCTTCACTCTAAACAACTAAGCTGAGGTGGAGAGGGCCTTGCTCCACCTCCTCTTAGAGAAAGGACAACTGTAGGACTGGACTCCTTCCCCCACAGCTAAATATCTCTCTCTCTCTCTCTCTCCCTCTCTCACACCTTTTGACCAGCAGGTCACATTAGAGTCTCCTGAGATGCAGATCTATGGGAAAAGGTGCAGTTTCTCCCATCTCCAGGCAGCCCACAGAACTGCACATTTCAGCCCCACACCGCACAGGCGCTCGCCCACCACAAACACTTTTAGAAACGCTGCTCGCTGGCCCACTCTGCCTTTCTCTCCAAGCAGCCTCCAGAGCTCGGCTGCCCCCTCCCGGAGCTGGTACCCATGCGGAAGTCACAGAAGCATGGCAACACAGATGGGGAGCGCGGGAGGCCAGCAGAGTCTGGCTCGAGGCTCTTGCCAAGAGCTTTTCCTAGCACGGGCTGAACGGCTGAACGATGAGGTTATGCCAGTTCAGAGCATGTCTGGGGTGGGGAAGGTAACAGACGTTTTTCCAATGGAAACTCCCAGAACGAGGTGGACACACTTTACTTAGGCATCCCTTCAGCCTGTCAGGAAGAAAGCCCAAGGAAGGCCTTGACTGCAGCAGCCGGCAGCGGGGGCAGGAACGCTACCTAAAGTTCACTGTGTGATCCAAGCAGCTTGCCTCATCCCAAAATATTACGGAGAGCTCTTGGAGCACTTTCTTCTACTGGTGATAAGAAGCTGGGGTAATCTGAGAAAGAAAACCAGAGTACATTCAAGGGTCCTGTCCTTAGAGGAAAAGCAACACCCGGAGAGGGATGTCTGAGTCAGGGCCTCACAGGGCAGGGCTGGTCAGTGGTTAGGGATCTGGCTGTCTCCCTATGAGCCCTCCTTACCTACCCTCCTGTTGAGCGGCTAATGGGCCTTTGACCAGGCTGAATGTACTGTGTGCAGCTACGGAACACTGCTTTCATTCCCATCTACCCATGAGGAAGGCAAACAGGGAAGGGGCAATGGCAACTGAGCCGCTAAAGCACTTGACAGGTCCAGGGTAGTGCAATGACAGGTACCATTTCTGGGTGCTAATGGTGCAGTGTGGGCCAGGTCTGTGCCACAGCGGTCAGGAAGGTTTTCTTACTAGAGTCCACATTTGAGCAGGCAGAGAGGAGAGAGGCCAGGCTGCAGCCAGGTTCCACTGTGGGTATGGTGCATTGGAGGGCTTGGTGCAGGGCGGACGCCCGCACCGCACATATTACCGGCACCTGTGGTGGTGGTCTCTGCAGAAGGAGCTCTGAGAATCCAGGGTCAGACTCTCGATGCCTAGATCTCACTCAGCAGCCCCCGCCAGGCTGGGCCCACTTGGCGCTGTCATGGCTAATTAAGCTGTTTACAACTTGCTGCCTTGTCCTCCAAGCACCCAGGAGACGGTCCCTGGTCCCTGCCTTGGGTACTCCTCAGTGTGTGCACATCAACAGATTTCAATTAGAGAGAGTGCTGGGAACCCCGGGGCTCTCTGAGGCCCTGGGACCCACTGAGAAGCTATACACCAAGGAAGACTCCTTGAGAAGTGGGCTACTCCTCTCTCTGATGTGTCTCTTTACCACTTAAAGCCAGGGGACACTGGCCAGAGTCAGAGAGGCAGGTCTCCTGGGGCTCTGGCCATGCTGAGGACAGCCCCTTCACACAAAGGTCCAGCCTCCTTGGCAAGGCTTCAGACTTGAAAACAGCCATGCAGGTTCTGGGGGCTTCAGTGTGCTATGTTTCATAAGCTCGGTGTCCCCCTGCAGGTGCCCCCAGCTACTGCTTGCTGTTTTACCAAACATGGTGCTCTCAGCCCGCCAGCCAACTGCGACTGTGGCAGCAGCCTGGTGGCATGGTGCCCACCACTGCCTGGATCCTCTTCCTCCAGGCCTGGATGCCCACGCTCATGCTCCTCTGGCCAGGGATGGATTAGCACTCATTGCTATATCCGTTAGCCTTATCTGGGAGCAGCTAGCTTACCCCTCTCCCAGCTCCTTTCCTCTCTTTGCTCTTGTCTCATCTCCTCCCTGCCCACTTCTCGACCTCCTCTTCATCCTGTTTCTGATTTTCTTCCTCTTGGCTCCCAGGTTCCCTCACTACCTTGCTCCCTTTCCTCTGTGCTTTCTCTCCAAAGAGTACAAATGGAAAACATCTGCTCCCTGGAGTCCCTTTTATTATTCTTCTCAGTGACATTCTGGTTTAACTTTGCATCCAGAGCTGGTTCCCTGCCCTGGCATTCCTGCCAAAAACAAGGCTCTCGGCTGCAGGCTGGGGGCTGAATTCACTCTCCAAGGCCCATTTCCATGCTCTTGTGCAACAGGGAGGGTCCTGTCCTTAGGCTGGCCCTACGCTGAGAAGCAGGCCTCCTTCCAGGAGCTGACTGTAGCAGGAGGGGAGAAGAAAATGCTAGAGCAAGTGAAGGAGTCATCCAAGGCACTGAAAGCAGGAGGAGCAAGCAGGGTAGAGCCTGGCAGAGCGCCAAGGAAGACAGGAAAAGAATGAAGAGCAAAGAGGGATAAACGGAGGGGAAGGATGTAAGTGCCAGGTTGCTTTTATAGCCCTTTTCTACCCTGTGTTCTCAGGGAAGGGGCCCTCCTAATAGCCAATTCAGACACACATGCAGGTGGCTTCCACTTTCAGGATGAGACCCCTAACACACTCAGGTGGGGGCTGGAGACCAGGTCAGTTTCAAACACAGAGATCCTAGAGCTATCCAGGAGTCCTTGGCCCTCCAGTGCAGGGGAAATCTGTCTCCATACCCCATGCTCTGGTACACTGTAAACTCACAGAGATGCTATCAGTAGTGAAAAGGGGTGTGTGTGTGTGTGTGTGTGTGTGTGTGTGTGTGTGTCTATTGCTCTCCACAATGAAGATTCTGGAACAGCCATGGGTTTAGTAGCAGTGCCCCATTCTCACAGATCCACTGCTCAGGAAGCAAGATCTCCACCAATTGCCTCAGTGCAAAACTCTTCCTGAGGCTGGGGAGCTTGAGGGAAAGGAAATAGGAAGTCTGTGAGAGCTTGAGGGAGAAGAAATGGGAAGTCAGTGAGAGCAAGGACATGACTTTCCAGAGTTGCGTCACACTGGGACTTATTGCCCAGATTGGGCTGCAGTTTATTCCTAGCCAAATTTAGGGGATTAGCTCATTCAGAAGCGATAAAGGGTCCTTTTCTTTCCTGCACGTTAACAGCATCTTTCAGGATCATTAGCATTATTAGTGTTAGGGAATGAGGCTGGGGCACTATATGATTAGCCTGGGTCAGGTGGAGCAGTTTGGGAAGAAGCCGTAGACTTAGTGACCTGGTCCTAGCAGGTACTCCAACAGGTACTCCGTAGATGCTGGTAAAGATGGCAGCCAGGGGACAGAGGATATGAACGGGTGCTAATATGCTCATAATGTGACCTAGGGCATTCCCTTCTTGGCCATGGAAGCTTTCCGTTGATCTATTTCCTGCTTCTTCTGGCAGGACAGATCTCATGATTTATACTAAGGCATAAGGACATGCAGAATAATGCCAGAGCCCTTTGTAGTTAGGGACCGTCAAACAATGAAGCACTGGCCATGAATCATGAGGTGGCGTGATGTGCTCAAATTCTACGGTATGTCCTTATGGGAAAAGAGGGAGGGTGTTTTCCCCTCCACGTTTATCTTATGCTTCAGAATGTGAATGCTGCAAGGGGCCACTGTGAACCACACAGATGAGAACAATACCCTAGAGATGGAAGAGCATCTCCTGAGGCTTTTCTATATTGTTGAAACAGGCTTCTCCCTTGTATAAGACACCACGGTTTTGCATCTGTAACCATGCATCTAAGTGCAAACCCAAGACACACTGGTAAAACAAAAGGCCTAGGGGGACATGGGTGCAGTTCTTGGAGCTGGCGCGGACCCCTAGCATGGGTGTGGTTTTCTGGCCCGGGCTGTTATGCCTCTCAGAAGCCTGATGTGGCGCCACCGCTCTCTGACGGGAGCAGAAGCATCTGTTTAATATGCCTTTATGTCCTCCAACACTTCCTTTCTTACTGTGCAGCCAACCCCAGCTCCCCAGGCGTCCTAAGGAACCCTGCGGTGATAAGTGGGGCAATATTATTACATTGCATTATTACAATGCTAACATGTTTAGGCTTTCCACGAATCGTGGTCCAATGCCCCCACTCCCACATTCAGAGTCCAGGAAAAGTGGGTGTAGGCTGCATGCTAATGTGTCCATATAAGGAAAGTACACCATGAATAACCTTGGGTTCCCATTAATGAGCACCCCAACTCTGACTTGCCAATACCACCTATCCAGGGAACAACTGATCATCTGCTCTCTACGCTCTACTTCCTCCTTAGGGATTAGAGCCCATCCCCGGGAGAAAAAGGAGGAAGGTGCGACTAACCCAGAGTGGACCCCAGGCCCAGTCTGTGGCACTTTTAGGCCAAAGGAAGGGCAGCCTGGTACCAGTTCAGGTCTCTCATTTTCCCCTATTCTGCCAAAGCCGCTTTATTCTACTGTTCATTCTCATTCCTAGTTCTCTTTTCCCTGTAATCCACCCCACCACAGTCAGTTGCCAAACACTTTCCCTGGCATTTCTGAGCCAATCACACAGTCTATGGGTGCCTCACAGCCTCTGGCCCACTGTGTACAGCACTAACTCCTTTCACATGTGGGCTAGCCAGCAACCTGGGACTCTAATCTAGGTGACTCAAGCCAGGGCTTCTGGAAACCTATCCCTCTAGCCCTCATTTGCCTGTGGGAACAGTGCTGGCTGATGATCAAAATGTATGTCACCTGGACAGCAGTCTCCCTGTCATTAACCCTCTAGACTTTTTACCCACACAACCTCTCCTGATCAAGAACTCTCATGTTAGGGAGGCAAGCATTCTCCCCACTGGGCAAAGAAGGAAACCCACAGCCAAACAGAAACCCACAGCCAAGCAGAAAGGTCAGAAACAAGGAGGTAGGTGGTTTGTTCTTCTGGAACACGCCTCTCTGCTCCAAAGATCCTAGGGCCTCAGGACAAGATCCCAGTATCTGAGTTCTGAATGCAAACTTTCTCTGAGGTTTTAAGTAGGGGTGTGTATGTGTGGGGAAAGTGAGTTGGAAAAGAGCTAGAACTATAGAACCCAAGAGTGCAAGCCTATGTAAGCTTCCCCAGAAATCTCCACCTCCCCGGCTTCGGCTTTGTTCTCAGCGACAGGACAGGGCGGGGCTCTGGGCATCTGGTGGCTTTGGCCAGACAGATGAGCATCCTCGGGATCGACCACCCAGCTGGATCAGGGGACACTCACCAGCTTGGAGCCAGATCTGCTCCAGTGTGGTCCACAGCTGCATGGGGCCCTGCTTTAGGACCGAGGTCGTTATGGTTAGCTCCGACATGGCCTCCTCCAGCCTTGAGGCTGCGATCGATGATGCCCGCCGAGAGCCTGCACAAGAAGGCAAAGGGTTGAGCAGATGTTAGGGCGCCACATGCTGCCTGCCGAGGAGCAGTCATCGTCCAGCACCCAGACAGGGCATCCAGGGCAGGGCAGGGCAGGGCAGCTACCAAAAAGCAGCTCACAGAGCCCCCACCCCCCAGGAGGACCTTCTGCCCACACCTCTACAGCTGGGCAGGTGAACTTTTTAAGGGGCAATTTGGTAAAAATCCCACTGAGATTTTATCCCCAGGGAAAATAATCATACATGTCAGCAAAGATGCTCATTTGACTCCTGCCTTTAATGCAGAAAACAGAAAGCTACCCAAGTGTTCAGCAGTAGGGGCTGATTAAAAATAAGTGAAAGTATAAGGCTCCGAAGACATCACGACCACAGGTCCTCGGCCCTGAAATGTCCAAGAACTCACACTGTACAGGTGAATGCAGACCAGCTCGTCACAAAACGGTCACACTTATAACAACTATATATGAGCAGACACGGGAAGAATTCCGAAGCGCCTCCCTTAGCTGGGCAATTGAAGGATGATTTTTTTCTTTTGTTTTTTTTGATTTTGACTTTCTGTTTTCACAGTACACACTGCTTCATATATATTAAGACCCCACCCATTTGAAGCTGTGAAGCAAAAGATCCTTGGGCAATAGCTAGCCTAGGCCTTCAGAGAGCCTCCCTGCTGTGGCTGGCCCTGCCCAGGCTATATAAGCTGTTGACATTTAAAGTTCCCATGCAGGTGAAACATGAGCGCTTTTGCTTCCTCAGAGGCAATAAAGGCTCCAATAAACTCAGGACAAACCACAGATGACAGCGGTTTATGAGACAAGAACATGTGAAGAAGCTCTAATAACTGGATGCCATTCTCTCTTTAGTTGTTCGGGAACCGCCCACCCCCCATGCCCTTCCTTGGGGACAGTGGTTCCCCCAGCAGCTGAGCACCCTTGCAAGTGTCTCGAGTCAAGTGCTGGGTTTGGCTAGTGCAATCCACTCCATCTCTCCAACAGCAAAGGGCAGCTTGACTCACGTCCCGGAAGTTGGGGGATAAGCGAGCAGTTCCGCCAAGTCCAACAGCACTCACACTTCCACTCTGTGACTCATTCCTCTTGTGCCTTTGAGGAATGTGTTCTGCTTGAAGCAGGTCCTTGGCTTAAAGGTGTACGTTTGTAATTCCTGAACTCATGTGAATTTCATGAGCACTGGGCTTTGAACTGAAATGAGCTCAGCCCATTCCTTTCTGTTTAACTCCCGAGTCAGACACTGGGCAGACTCTGGCCTCTGGCTTTGGTCTAAGGGTCAATGCCCAGACCAACTTTCTGTCCCATTCTCCTCCTTCTTTAGTACGCGTAGAGGTAGGGACCTTCTTCTATTGCCCACAACAGGTGGCCACCACCCATCTGTGGGCCAACTGCCAGCTCCACCCAGAGCCAAGATCAATCCTGATCTTACCAGAGTCTGCGTCATGGGCATCTGGCAGAGTCAGGTGAATGCCATTCTGCTTCTTCACTGTGAGGCCTTCGAAACTGCCATCCCTTTCCAGGCCCCTGGAAGGCAATGGAGGGCAGGGCTCATCATGCAGAAGATGGCATCCCTAGGGCCAGCATGGAGTGTGAGAGAACCCCATTTCAGCAGCCTCTGAGGCCAAGTTCAAGTAAGCCAAGCCATAATGGCAGGGAAGGATAGAGACAAGTAGAAGGACAGACAGACCAGCATGCGTCCTATACCACTCAGGCTGACACAGAAATCCTCATAGTGGCCATGTCCTCTTTGAAGGTGGATCTCCACCCTCCAGGCACAGGAACTGTTGGCTGGCTTCTAAGCACAAGCTGGCTGAAGGGCCAATCGCCACCCTCTGTAATGGAATCCTTGGACTGCCAGGTATCCCCAAAGGAGCTTGGATTAGAAAGGATGCAAGTGGCAGATGCTGTTACACTCTTGGCCAAGGAAGCCAACGGCACTTGGCATGGGCTCGGGGAGCTCAGGAGAGCCACTACAGAAAAGGTGGCCAGAAGGGAGTCTTCCCTTTAGAGCTATACAAAGAGGCTGAGTCCATAATGGTACACAGGCCAGGCTATCTTTATTGTCCTAACTCAGGTTCACAGTGGCCCTGACTTGGTTTGTAGATGCTCAGTCATCTTAGGTGAGGTCCAAAGAAAACCATCTGTCCAAACACAGCAGGTCAGGGATGGTTTCTTTCCTTTGCCACTGTGGTGGCTTGAATAAGAATGGTTCCCACACACTCAGTACATTTGAATGCTAGTCACCAGAGTGGCACTATTTGAATGGATTAGAAGGATTAGGAGGTGTGGTCTAGTTGGAGGAAGTGTGTCACTGCGACTGGGCTCTGTCTCTCTCCTCTTTCTCTCCCCTCCTGCAGATCAAGATGCTCTCAGCTACTTCTCTAGCACCATGCCTGCCTGCCTGCCTGCTGGCATGTTCCCAACCATGATGATAGCGGACTAAGCCTCTGAAACTGTAAACAAGCACCCAAGTAAACACTCTCTCTTATAGTGTTGCCTTGGTCATGGTGTCTCTTCACAGCAATAGAACAGTAGCTAAGACTTTTTCCCTAATTCTAGGAAGCACCTGAGTGGAGAGCCAATGAGCTGGGGACATGAGGCTAAAATGATGTCCTACTCCCTCTTGCCTGACTTCTCTCAAGGTCCTTTTCTTTTGAAAACAAGTGTGAAGTCCAGCTCACAGGCTACTGACTGACATCTGCATAGGAGTCTACTTCAGTGCCTCCATCCAGGTACCCACCTTACTTTTTCTCTTTTGCCATGAGAGATCCTCTCCTAAAGCATGGAAACAGCCCATCTTGGGGGACTATGCTGTACCAGTTTAAGGTTACCATGCAGCATGTTACTCTGAAGAACCCTGTGCTAGATGGGGAAACGGGTCAAGCTAAGCAAGTCATTGAGACTATTATGGACAGGGTTGGGTAGCAGTTGCTTCCTGAAGGAGGGACTGGGGGTGGTAGGAACATCAGCACAGTGGGGTGGTGTGAGCAGAGGTGTTGGGTGGGAGTGGGACAGGCTGGCTAGGTCAGGTTGGTAGAACAGACCCTCAGGCTGTGGATTTTGGTCTTAGTTTATGATTGCCCAAAATTAGATTTTTACAAGCACTGGATTCTGGCTTACAGCTCTAGGTTTCAAAGAAAAACCCTTCCTGTCTCCTGAGGCAGCCAGGAGGGACTGGATCCAGCTGTGGGCCAAGTAGCGACCTGCCCGAGTCCTGCTGTGATGCTGGGGTGAGAGAGTCGTGGAAGTTTCCTGAAGAGGTCTCCTGCACTATGAACCCCACCAGCCTCTCAGGAACGTGTGTGTGTGCGCGGTGACTCAGGACGTCAGGGCGAGCTCAACTGCCCCTGCCCCTATAAGAACACCTGGCAGCTCCACAGCTACCGAGTCAAAGCCACCACTCTATGGGACCTTGTCTCAACCAGTCACTTGGATGTGCAGCCTGGACAACAAGACAAGGACTAGCAGGCTCTAGGGCGACTCCTGTGCAAGCTGAGCCAGGCTGTGTACCTGTCCCAGGTGCCACAGCCAGAAGGCGTCTGTATGCAAATTCCCCTGTATCAGGGGATGGTCCTCGGGCTCACAGTGCCTGCCTCCAGGGAGTGTTTCTACTCCCTCCGTGAAAAATCCATCACCCACAGCTTTCGGCGGTGTTTCTACCCACTAGTCTTGTCCGACTCTGGAATCTCCCAGGCCCAGTGCCCTGTTAAGGGCGGCTGCCTCTGTCTGAGGGTTTTCACTCCATCCTATTTCCCTGGGCCCCCTCTGATTTCACTAAGGAAGAGGGGTCTTCAAGGCAACAGTTCTTAACCTGTTTGTTGTGATCCCTTTGTGGTTAGAACAACCCTTTCACTGGGATTGCCTGAGACCACTGGAAAACACAGATGTTTAATTATGATTCATAACTGTAGAAAATTAGTTATGAATTAGCAATGAAAATAACTTTATGGTTGGGAGTTACCACAACACAAGGGACTGTGTTGAAGGGTTGTAGCATCAGGAAGGTTGAGAACCACTCTAAAAAGTATTGAGGCCTTCTAGAGTCCCTGTGCATATGGTCCATGTCCTGGGACTTGCAAGACCTGGATTCAAGTCCCAGTACTGTCACTTTGCATGTAAGTGACCGGCACATTAAAGTCACAGCCTCTGAAAATGAAGATGTCAGTGGCTGGCGTACCACGTAAAGCAAGCAGCGCAGGACCCCAGTTGCACAACGATGGCTTCTCTACCTTCTTACCGCCTCGAGCAACATCTAACCAGGTTTTGTGTGGGTTCTGAAAGACTGCCAGGGAATTAACACTGAACTACGAATGTAAAATTCCCCTAACAGAGTTCCACATCTGCATTCAAACCTCCAGCGACACTTTGTAGGTGCTGTGGCCTTTTAAGCAGTTGTTAGCCTGGCAACTAACCTCTGCCAACTCTGCCCACTATCCTAGAGTAACCCAAGGGACAATGACAGCCACTTACCCCAGCTGTGAGAAGTTGTAGAGGGACTGCCACAGTCGTAGCATTTGCCTGCAAGTCACCAGGGCTTCCTCCGGGCCTTTCAGCACCTGCTCCAGCTTCACCTTGGTGAACATCAGGCTACGGGGAAGGAGAGCCACAGTCAGAGGAGGCCCAGAGGAGGCTTTCTTCCAAGGGTGGGGTTGGGGGATGGCACACCACCTGCCGACATCCCCAGCCCGCAGAAGGCACACCCAGCACATGCTGGCTTTTCTCCATGCCTCAGTTTCTCCCCTTTTCAGAGTTTGTCGGTGCCTGCCCTGTTCACCTGTCCTTGATCATACAGTAGCTCGTCCTATAGCGAGCTGTAGCGAGCCCGGCCTGGTGTGCTCTGCCCTCTTTACAAGCTCAGCTAAGTGACATCTTGGGTCCTACAAACACATGGCCAGGATTTATACTTCTGTGTCCCACAAGGCACTGGATTGCTCCTCAGTAAGAGCCACGCTTAGGAAGAAGCCTTTTATTTTGTCTTGTGTATGGGTGTCTTGCTTAGCGTGAATGTCTGTGCCACATTCCTGCAGTTAGAAGGCAGCTTTGAATCACTACCTTGAACACATCAGCGAAGGTCAAAGCATTTGACCCAGATCATTAGCACTCTTGTTCACTAAGGATTAGGGAGGACCAGGAAGCCCAGATGTGTCACGTGCCAGCCTTCGCTTGTTAGGGATGTCTACCTGTACTGGAGAAGAGGGCCTGGTAGCACGGAAGTATCACAGTGTGTCAGTGTTCTGAGATCAGCATACTGACAATATATCATAGATCAGCTACCTGTGGGCAGCCTTTGCCGAATGGCTGAGCCTCCGAGACCCATACACACAAGGCTATGGCCTTGTTCTCAGAGGGGTCGACAAGCAGTGAGACTGTTCGATCCACTGCACCACTGCTGAGAGAATCGGCGTGACCATTAGGCCACGAACTTGATAACTGCTTGGGGCCCATGTGGACACACAGGCCTGCTCCAGGGAAGCTGTGCTGTGCTGTGCTGTGAGCCCCATGGAGGTGCCCAGGCTGCATCCTGAGCCAGGGAGACCCAGCCATACTTTTCTCTGCACTGAGACCTGGGCCTCCATGTCATTCCTCTGGGCTATTCACACTCTTTGTAGATGACTTGGTAGAGAATAATGAAGCAGGTGGAATTTAGCCTAGTGTACTACTATTCAGAACAGAAATCTGGGTTCTGAGCACACTCTCCCGCACTCTTCCTCAAAAATGCCTTTTGTGCTGCTGCATAGAGCAGCTGCCCTCTCCATTTTCATATCAACCTGGACTTACTTATTTTTGATAGATAGGCTTTCTCATGAAGCTTAGGATTGCCTAGAACTCACACTATAGCTCAAGGGAATGACCTTGAACTCCAGATCCTCCCACTTCTACCTACCAAGTGCTGTGACTACAGGTGGGTAATGCCCTTATGAACAAAGCTTCCGAAGAGACTGCATCTGGGTGTGAATGAACACTGCTGTCTGGCTGATGAGAACCTCAGAACTGGAGAGATTGGAATGTTGCAGGTCCAGAGGCTAATTACTGATCTTGGAGTAAGTTCTGGTCCTCCAGAACTGCCATTCCTTGCCCACATCTATGTTGGAACCAACATCTTGTGACAGTAGATAAAGAAATTTTTAGAATCTATTGACTGAGGAGGCAACTAGCTCCCTCCATTCCAAAAGCTAAGAATGTCAACAGATAGCAACTTAGGCCTATAGAACAGCTTCCCCTTCTTGGTGTACCTGCCTCTCTGATGTATCCATCAGGGTATTTGAAACTTGTCCTGATTTATGACTTTCTCTGCCATGTAAAACTATAAAATCTTAAAATCTGCTTCCACACTGGAGCATGGCATTTTCAGTAACCCAAATTTGGGTTCCAGGACCATGGTCACTCAAAATGGCTCCAGAGTAAACTGTTTCTTATTCCCTTTAAGATGACAGCTGTGGTTTTTATGTCAACACCCTGTTTTGTGTGGTGTCAGGGACTGAACCTCTTATATACTACAAAAATATTCTACCAACGTTTTTGTTTGTTTGGTTTAGCTCTTGAGACAGGCTCTTGCTATGGCGTCCTGGCACACCTGAACTCTCAATGTAGCCTAGGCTTGAAGTCATAGATAAGCCTTTGCCTCTGGGATCACAGGCAAGCAACACCATGCCCAGCTCAACCTGGACTATAAATCCCCCTTTCCCTAACCCTTCTGCAACCTCTCCTGAATCATGACCCATCCTCTGCCTATGAGGTCCTGAGGGCAGAATCTGGGCTGAACTCTGACTGGAGAGCTTCAGGGAAGAATGGGTGCTGCCTGTCCTTCCTTCCCCAGATCCTTGCAGAGCCCAATCTGCCAATATTGGGAGGTGCCTCTGCTTTCAGGAATATGAACTAGACACAACTTCTGCCTCAAGGTAACAATTAGAGTGCTATAAATGTCAGCTTGCCATGAGAATCAAATGCTATGTTTTTGGATCTGACGCCAGTGCAAATGAAGGAGCAGGGAAGTGGGCCTTGCTGGAGCTGGTGTCTGATGACAAGGTGGGTGGGGACAGTTGGGAGCAGCAGTGTGGGAGAGTTAAAGAACTCTGGGCAGGAAGACAACAGCAGTTAGAGCCAAGGATGTTGAGGCGGTTCAGTCTGAGACAGCCTTCTCTAGGTAGCCAGAGCAGCAAAGTTCTAGGGCTGAGCCCGTTCCTAGGGCAAACCAGCCCCCAGCTTTCTGGGATGCTCCACAGACCCACTGTTGCCACTGAGTCACACACCTAAGTCCCTGCATCAACACTAGGCTAGGTCCCTGGGAGACTGGCCGGAGGCCCTGTGTGCCTAGGACAGAGAGTGAAAAGCGGAGTGGGATGACCAGCCCCCATCAACGCAGGCTGTATCCTCCCAGCGGCTGACATTCCACTAGCATGAGTGACCTGGAGTGGAATTTCTCAACCCAACCACATCCTCTCTAGGTTGGGCAAGAGCTCCAAACAATCACCCTGGAGTGTGAGCCTCAGGCTGAGGGTCCCGAGGCTCCAAATTAGCTCCTGAACAGACTTCCCTGGCTGGTAGTTGAGCACCGCCTGGGGGAATCTTACGCAGAACTTGTCCTGCCTGATGTCTGCGCCATCAGTACAAAAGGCCTTTCGTTGGGCCTCTACCTCCCATTCCTGCCTCTTCCCCCATGACCTTGGCCCGATCACTTGGTGTCATCTGCTCCTTGACACATTTCCCTGCTTCATTTCATGTTGTGGCCTCTGCAGGGGTTCAACCTTTCCCCTGCCCCATTGGGCCAACTCCTACACAGATGTCATCTTGCACCTTTTTCTGTACCTCCACGTGGTTATATTCACCCCTCCGAGTGTAAGTCTTCAGTATATCTGGAAGTGCATACCAGAGGCCTGTCTCGAACTCAGTATCAGACTTCACGGTGGTGACGGGGACCTACAGACAGGGCTGTAAACACTCTGGACCCAGTTCTTCCCACTAAGATGTTTATATCTAGCCCAGAGACTGCAGATTTAGTCCCTGCCCAGCTATTCAGACAGAGCCCTTGGCATGCCATCATGACTGGCTGGAGTCATGGTCACAGCCTCATCAGAACCCCATGTTTCCAGGGGAGCTCTCAGCTCTCTCCCACCTTCAAGCTCATCTTATGTCATGCAGGTGAGTCTAAAATGTCTTTCAGTGAATTGTCAGACTTTAGGAAAACAATCCAAGGCCCAGGTCCTCCTCCAAGAAACTCCAAGGTGACCGCATGTCCAGTTGGCAACACTACATGCCTTGTCTCTCTTGATTAAAAGTTTACTAAGGCGGCACATTCACATGAAGTATTTTTAGTCAGATACTCCAGGAAAATGTCTGCGGCCAGTCTTGGTGTAGATGGGAAATGCACCATTTGTCTCACAGCTCTGAGGAGCCACGTGCCTGAGGTGTGCTGTCTGCTGTAGATGTGCAAGTGTCTGGCTCTGTCTGACTGGGGCTAGGGGGTCTTCACCTCTGGGGTCAAAGGCAAAAAAGTATAATAGAAACATGTCTGTAGGACTGGAATACCAGACTCTACCATGCTCGGACAAAAGCTATTCCAGGAGAGGGAGGGCCAACTTTGATCACATTATTATCTTTAAACTACACCATGGATACTGGCCTGAGAGGCAGAAACTTGAACCAAAGGTCCACCTCTGTTGATTCCACACCTGTAAAATAGGAGGGAAATCACCTATTCACTTACTCCCCATAAGGCTGAACCCTGGTGAGCCATGAGCAGCGGCTGAGAAAGCCCAGGGAAGCACACAGATGTCCAGAGCTTGGCCTGCCTGACATTCAGGGCAGGCCTCCTGCCTTGAAGCTGAGACCCTATCTGACCCAGAAGAGCGCATTTCCAGGCCAGTTGCCTCTGCAGGCTCTGGAAAGCTCCTGGCCTGTCCAGTAGCCCCTGTGACGAATGGTTGCGATAACCTTCTTGTAAATGTCTGGTCTTAGCAGGGAGCTAGAGTGCAGACAGAAGCCCACTGTCTAGGAGCTCAGCTCTCTCAGGTTGCCAGGTTCCAGCTCCCCCTCCCCATCCTTGACTGTTCACCTTGTGTATTGTGACAAGGTAAGGGAGTGACCCTGGCTCTGGCTCACTTCCTGCCAGATGGGAGGGGGTACTTCATTGTTCCCAGCTCGCCCCAGCCTCTCCAGATACGCATGCCTGTGCAGCTGCGAGGCAGAGGCAGCCATGGCACAACTTCTCTGTTACTGAGACCTGTCTTCCTGCCAGGCCCTTATTTTCCAGTGCCTTTCCTTCACACTCAACAAACCTGAGCCAACGCATAGAAGAAGGTAGTAGAGTCGGATGGATTCTACAGGCCTAGGAAACTGTGGGTCCCTAGGGCTGGAGCGATTTGAAAGAAGCAAAGCTTCAGGAAAGCTTCCAGAACGTTCCATTCTTCCTGGCCTCACTCGACCCCACTCTGCTCTTGAGGTCCTGGGAGGCTTTTCTTGCTCTCCCTGGCTCCTTAAAGGGTGGCAGCAGGTGTGGCAAGTGTATAGAAGGGGACATTATCTCTTTAGAGGACAGTAATTAGTAATTCTAGCTGATGGCCCGATGCACTGTTTTAATGAAAAGTTCT